ATTGCATTTAATAGGCAACATTTTGCATATTGTAGCATCATTAGCATTCAAATCGCATCTTCCAGTTTTTATATTAAATGCAAAGTTACCTACAAAATATTTGTGAATTTTATAATTCTAATATGAAATTTAATAAATACATGATAGATACAGATAGATATATTATATATGATAAGCAAATCAGTGATGTTACCTCATACTTCTAATATGCCTAATACTGTGTCATTCAGATTTTCTAATTGTTTGATGATCGCCATTTAATAAAATAAATAAACTTACCTTTGCATTCAACAGTATTAGATTCTTCACCAGGGCCTGGACAGAAATGATATTTTTGACAATCATACGCGTCAGGTACGAGACCTGTGATATATAATGATATAATTATCAAGATATAAAATTTAATTTGATAAATATTATGAGCAAATGCTACCAGATACTCTATGCCCTAGCATGCTTAAAAAATCATTAATTTATTAATTGTACCTTCGGTTCTGCATCTAATCTGATCTTGTATGTTTGAGCACGGTCCAGGTTTAGCTGAGCAGCCTCCTTCTTTAACATTGCAAGTCTCGCGGCCACGACAAACATCTACCGGAATAGTTAGCCAATTTTTTCCTGTATAGTTTTGATAATAAATATTAAAAACAAAAAGTTTGTAATGAAATCAATGATTGTAGAAAATGGGTTATTAATATAATTTTGGAAATAAAAGATTTTAATTGAACACATTGTACATAATTTTCTCCAAACGGACTAAAGATTTTGTAATATGGCTTTAATAAAGGAGTAGGTGCATGTAAATTGATCATAGGTATTATATTCTAATTATTTAAATATTTAAGATGTAAGCCGTTTTTATCTGTAACATTATATAAACAATTTATTACAACTTTTGAAGTACCTACATATTCATCATAAAATGTATTCGTGTTGCATTTTGCGTATTTAGTACTTTTATTTTAAATTTTAATAGTAAAAATTAAAGAAATTAATAACTTTGAATTATAAATCTTCTATACGTTTCACTCATATCCTAACAACCAATTCTTGATTTTTATTTGGCCATATTTATTTATTTATTTATCTATTTATTTATACCTGATTTTACACATTTGGCGACATTCATGCAGGTTGTGCAGATTAAACCTGGTGTTCCACGATCCGCGCATCTTCTTACTTCCCGGGGATCCGTTGACGAATTATTTGCAACAGGATCAGCTTTTATTTGTTCAGACGATATGCAAATCTAGTGAATTAAAAAAAAATCATTAATATAAAATCATGAATCAATTGGGTATTATTCTCATACTCACGAAAAATGTGAAAGCGATTATGAGTTTATTTTTCATCTTGCCGAATAAATTCAACCAAAATGCTTAACGATTAGAAATAGTATAATAATAATTTAAAATATTTTATGCTATAGATATATTATCCACTCGAACAATGTCGTGTTAATTTACTTTATCAAAGTAGAAATAGTTCTTGACATTTTTTTTAAGATAAAGATAAGAAAAGAGTGATCTAATTAATAGTTTTTCCCGATGAGTATATATATATATATATATATATATATATATATATATACTAGCAAACCCGACGAACTCCGTTTCGCCACCAGATGGTTTTGTGAGAAAGATTTTATATTTGAAGTGTTTTTTAGTTGAACTTCTCTAAGTAAATGAAAGTGAATCCGCAAATTATCCGTTTCATTGAAGTGCTTTTTGGTAAACCACATTTTTTAGTTTTTGGTCTGACGTTAACACAAACAAAGCGGATGGTTTCCGAACTCGTGAATAGGCAACGTATAACTGACCATGTGAAAAACAATGATTTTCTAAATAATCTATTTGAAATTTATCCCGCAAACACTAAGCGACTGGCCTTGCGACTTATTATTGCGAACGCAAGGTGAACTGAAAATTGCAATCGTTCGAAGTCAAACGGAAGACCAGTCGGAATCATCGGTATGTCACCAAATCGCCAGCAATTTTTTATTGAATGGTGAAATTCAGTGCGTGTACATCATTATTCTTCGCGAAAAACCCGACTTATTTTTATATATGTATAGATATATATATTATCGGGCATAACATCAATAAAAAAAATATTTTGAGAATTTATTTTATATCCATACGCTTTGGCTATAATCCTAGTCTTCATTCAGTGGTAACTAAAATACAATTTAAAAACTTTTTGCTAGTTTTAACAATCAGATTACTATATAATCTATATATTTAAAGTGATGGTATTAAAAATCAAAAATAGATTATAGAAATTAAAGAAAAGAGAAAGAATTAGATAATTGAATAATAATAATAATGGTGGTAGAGATCACTGGACCATTTTCTTTTCAGGTGTTATCGCAAGTACAAGGCTTTGGTGTGGCTTCTCAATGAAATGATAAGGTGTTGAGATTTCTTAACATCAGTTTTTATGTTCCATTTATTTAGCCATAAGTATGTCGTAGTTTTTCTTAAAAACCTTAACTGCTTTTCTCCTCCACCAGGTCCTGGAGATGTAAAATCATGTCTTATAACTGGAGATATACATATTTTTTAAATGGGTCATTAAAATGGACAATATAATGAAAGTCATTATATTGACTGTTTTATAAGAAATATATGAAAACCATCAATTGTATACTATAGTATGATTACGTGGTAATAAGCGATCGGTCAATAATCCAGGATCATCCAGGTTCATACTAAGCAAATTCTACTGTATACTTCACTATTTTTTGAATTGTAATGAGAATTACTATTATCAAAATAAGCTGAAGATTTTTACAATATTATCAAAATCTTCAGCTTATTTATGGTAAATTAGAATTTTATAAAGTGCTTCATAGATAAGAAGGCTCAAAAAGTAAAATGGCCTTCTAAACATGTGTTCTTGATCTGAATGAGCCCCCGGCGCACATCATTCTATTTGAGTTGTAAGTATTATTTTTGTATCACTTATTTTATTCTATTTTTGGTTTCCTTCATTAGTTATTTATATTATTTTTAATCGCGCCATTTTGGATTATAACACTGGTATCAACTGACACTGACAAAAGTAAATTGTTATAACTCAGAGTGCTAATAGTTTGAATATCAGTAATTCCGATTATGATATCATATAAAGAAACTGGTTTGTAAAAGAATCCACAAATTGTTAATCAACTATAACTCTATTTTGTTATGAAAACATATTAATCAACATTTTAAATTTGAAATTTACCCTATTGACAGTTATGGACAAGAACTCTTTTACGCTTTGCGGCCATTTTGTATCAACAGATGTCACTCGCGTTCCTTTGCGAGAAAACGATATGACGATATCTTTGTTGTGATCGAAAACACAAATGTCACTTTAATTAGCCAAAGATTAGAAACTGATAGCATTACATTTGTTTATGTGAAACATAATACATTATTATTACTGCATTTATGTGTGTGTTAATTTATTAAAACTTAATTAAATTAATCATTTATAATATGTTGGGCAAACGTTCGTCAAATGCAGGAAAAAATCGATCATCGATCAAACATGATTCTAATAATCAAATGTCTCATAAAACTAGCATTTCCATGGTGCCTGGATTAAATAAGCAACAAAAATCTATTGTTGATGACAGAAAAATGCGAGCAGAAGCAATTGCTTCTCTTCCTGTTTTAACAACACGAGATATTGCAGAACAGTTTCCTACCTATGCAGCAGGTACATTTAAAAACGCTTTTACTTACTAATTGATGTTTAAGTGTATTTTTGAAAATAGGTAATAAGATTTAAAACTATTACCTTAAAAAGGCAATAGTGGTAAGGATTTTATTAAACAATTATTACTAGAATGTGTTTATACCCGATCTTAAGATTATTGAGTATTTGAGAAACATACCACATAAAATAATCATAAATAACAAATCATAAACTGTCTTTATAATGTATATGTTAACAGACTCAAAATACTATATATTATTATTACTCTAATTCCTATTATATCATATTTAAAAAAATCGTACTTTGTTACACAATATATGTATGATCTATCCTAGAGATGGGCTTATTATATCTGAAGCCGGAGCAGTTTGATTTGACTCCGCTTCAGAAAGGAGTCATATCCACTTAACAACTCCACAACTCCGACAATTTTGTAACATAATACTTGACACAAATGTGTTCTCTAGTGCGTTGTTAACATATCTAAGGATTTGAAAATAGTTTACAAATAGTTCAAACATTTTTATTCATTTTATTATAATAATTACTATTTTATGCATTTCAATATGCATACAAATCTCAAATTGACAAAAAAACTTAGGAATTTTGATTTCTAAGCTTGATTTTGATCAATTTTGTAATTATTTTTGAAGAAAAAAAAATAGAATTCTTTGAATATGTTTATTTTTATATGAAAATAATGCAGTGAACCTTATATATGAAATGAGAACAAATCTTTATGTATAATATTTTTCACAAAATAATAATACTTACCTCACATTCTCTTATTATTTCCTTTTCGAGAATTAATTTTACATCCGGTAGTTTGATTAGCATACTGTTACTTTTACACAATTATAAAATCATAATTGTGTAAAAGTTATAATATAATACTAAATATTTTTAGCTGGTTGTACACCTGGTTGAAAGAGCTCATTTATGGACAAACATTATCGTATACAGAATATAGAATACAAAATAGCATTATTTTGAGACATTATATACCTGGAAAGTCCTAAAACTGGGCTGTGAGACGAGAAAAATACCACTTTTTTCGAACCAATTCTTTGTATTAGTCAAAAATCTCAAGCAAATATCTTCACATGTTAACAGATTTAGTACCAGTTTAGGGAAGTCGGATATGACAAATCCTGTGAGACAACTCCACTCGGATTCGCTCCGAGAGAGGAGTTGTATCAGAGTGATAACTCCGGAGTGTGTTGCCCATCTCTAATCTATCCCTATAAATTTTGCAAATTACTCTCTAGTATTTCAGTAATAATAAATTTATCACATATTTGCAATATTTATTACAAATATCTAGTACATTTAAATACTACATGCATACATACATTTTAATGTAATTTTATATAAATTTAAACATGATTTATAGTTACTGAGTAATTGTATTCCGTCACAGTATTAGCTAGATCAGCCACAAGTGAAACAGTATTAGATGAAGAATTGGAATCTCTTCAGTTTGAATTGGAGTCTCTTCTTTCATCATTAGCATGCAAAATAAATTTGATGCATATTGAAATTGATGTTGAAGATTATATTCAAAAAGATCATAATAAACGTCTGAAATTGAATGTTAAACAGGTGAAATGATTTAACATTGCAAACAAAAACTTAATTCAGTTCAAAATTGTTTCATACATTAATAAATATTTATGTTTTTAGTCATATTTTTATAATTTTTTCTAGACACAAGCTTCTGGGAATCGAAGAAAAACAACTGATAAAACAGTTCCTCATAAAGCTGCAAAAGTTAGCAACAATGTATATAAATCAAAGAATTTTAAAAAGGTCCGGAATTCAGGGATGGGTGAAGTGATGTCCGATATGAAATCGGATCTATCAAAACCTGTAGTAATCAAAAATGATACTGCTTTTAAGTTTTGGGCTTCTGTGGATCCTTACTGTGCCCAACTTGGAACTGCAGACTTGGATGTAAGTCTATTCTTAAAAAAAATCACATTGTCGTGCTTTTTCTTAACTAGATTTTTTAAAATATGCAATATATACACAATTAAAATTTATTAAATATGCTTTCTATTCTGCTATAAAATGTGAAGAAACATATGATGATATTTATTATTCGCTTTTCAGAAATTAATGAAAATTATAAATAAATATGAAGAACCTTTACCTGCAATACCTGAATTAGGACCTCATTACACACAAAGATGGACTGCAGATGATTTTTTAATGGAGCAAAATTTTTCTTCATCAGAAAGAATGCAACCAAAGAATATAGACATGAACTTAAATATTCCAGCTCATATTGCTACAATGTTGAAGCATACTGAAGAATACAAGTAAATATATATTTTGAATTTTACAATTAATTAAACTATTTAAATCAAACATATTGAACAAATTATAGGCTATAAAGACAGAGAATGGGTGATTTTAATATGTATACAAACATGTCTAATTCTAAAAAAGATTATCATTTTTATGGATATATATTGTCTTACAATTTTTCTTTTTAATAGCGAAATACCTGGGCCACTCACACAAAGACTTCTGTCAGCATTATTGAATGTACCTGAAATTGAAAATATAGAACATAAATTAAATAGCGATACAGAAAAATATTTGCGAAAAGAATTGATTACTTTGGGAATTATGGATGAGGATGATTTTCCAAAGGTGCTTAATTCGATGGAATAAGGTTTAAGAATGAAACTTGGCATCTATTTATTTTATATTTTAGCCAAATCCAAATGATGAAGTTTGGGAAGAAACAAAACGAGTTTATTTAGATTTAACTGCATTAAATAAACAAAATGTTCAAAAACTTAAGGAACTTCATGCTGCAGCACAAATTGAAGTGAAAAAGACATCATTAAGGAAAAAGTTAGAAGTGGTTGATGGTCAGGTAAATATTGTTAGACATTGGTTTAGTTTCTGTTCAGTGACGATAGCAATATGTATTTGTAAGTCTCCTAATGTAAGGAGATTCTGTAACTTTTTTCTTTAATCAATGAATTCAATAAAAATAATTTAAATTTTGCAACAATCATAACATTTATATTTCTATATTTTATTTTGAGTAAGTAGTTTGTAATTTTCTTTGTTTCATTACTTATATTTTATATCATATTAGATAAAAATTAATGATGAAATACTTGCAATAAAATTAATAAGATTATTATCTTTAATTAAGGGCACAAGACATTTATTCAACTTTGATTTAAAAATTTATAATAGTTTAATGAATGCTTAATTTAATTAACTTTAAACTAATGATACTGTTTAATAATGTATAATAATGTTGTTTCAGATTTTAGAAGTTGTCAAAAAGTTTCAATTAATGAAACAGGAAAACAAACCAATAACCGAAAAAGATTTACAAGAAGCTGAAAAGCTTTTGAAAGAACAAATAATATTGAATGAAAAAATTATATCGATGCCTTCAACAGGACCTCATTGGGTTTAAATAATATGCACAAATGTTCTCTTATATGTTATTATCTAATATATGAGTAGATATATTTATAATAACAGAATATAATAAGAAGGCAAATTTACATTAATAAAGATCAAAACCAGGAAATTTCACAAATTATATGAAATTTAATTTTATAATTTTAATTTATTGCTGTTTATTACATTGTATTATGATATGTAGTCTTTCTGCAAAGTCAGTTCTGATCTTTATTTTTTATATTGAATAATAAAAGAACAGGGTGTTCCGAACCTTAACGTCAATCAGAAATGAGGTAACAGTATTGACCTTAACTGTTCTGAAAAAAATTGGAAAAAAATATCTTAAGTTGTTTGGAAATTATGAGCTTGTAAGTGCAACCTTTAAAATCGGTCTACATTGATAGGCCCTACTTTGAAAAAAATGTTTTAAGGTTTGTTGGCAAGTTTTATCAAATGTTGGCATATTTGATCATTTTTGTAAAATTGTAATATACTTATATAATAATATTATTAATGAATGATAATTTTATTATTGAAAATTTTCTAGTGCTCACTTTCCTCTTAATTTCCAAGTAATGTGAGATAATTTTTTGAATAATATGACCTAATTTTATTTCTAAAGTAAAGTATTTCTAAAGGTTAAGGCAATGAATCTAGCAAATTGTATTCTAACATCTCATTACACTATTTAATTTAATAAAAAAAAATCAATAAAAATTTAATGAAAGTGTTATAAGTAAATAATGTAAGATTGCACTAATAAAGGAAAATAAATCTGTATATTCAATGATAGAATTACTGAAACATTCATACTGTATAATTAAAAACCTTATTTGAGATTTAAATTTAATTATACTATGATACCTAAACACAAAACATGCATTACAAGGTAGCAGATTTTGTAAAAGCGGATTCAGTTGGCAAAACTTAATTTTTTGGTATTAAATGTTAAAATACAATAGTAAATTCAATTAAATCTTATATTTTGTTTATGGAATATTATTCATGCATTTTTGTGACAACTTTTACATAGCTATTTTAGCATAATTTATAAGTATTATTTACACATTTAAAGTAGAATTAAACAAATTGAGATGTCACCAAACATAAATGCAACTAGGCCCTTGAGATACAGAAAATGAATAATATTGTATATATAATATAATATAGGTCCCATTTATCAATATATATATATATATATATATATATATATATATATATATATATTTATATTTATGTGTGTGTGTGTCTTTCACGTTTTGGAAGTACCAATGTATGTATTTTTATAGATAATATGCAAAACATATCGTGGCTGAGATGGTTAGGCCGTAGGGACCATTGTTAAGTTCGAATCCTCAAATCAACATATATTTTTCTAACATGTTTATTTGAAAAAAAATAGGCAAATTGCTTCTCGAAAATATCTAATGGTTCTTAATTATGTTTGGCTGTTGCCACTGCAAGTTTCCTTGGAAAGAGATTTTGTTGAAATTGGAAAACATGTTGCCAGTCTATAAATATTTTGGTTTTACTCTATGTTTAATTTTTATTCTGAAGATTATTATAAAAATAAATGAACAGTCCCTGCTGAGCCTTGGTTGAACAAGTGTCTTTATCATAATAATAAATTTTTATATCATAAATGATTGATTAAAAGCTAAAGGCTAAAGTGTTATTTTCCATAAAAATGTGATTTAGGCAAGTACCACATAATATTTTACATTTTAAATTTTAGGCGAAGTTATTAAGATTTATGTATTCGTAAATATTTCAAAATAAATTCAAATAAGCTCAATATAATTTATTTTAAGCTTACATTGTTACATTTAGTAAATCCAAAACAATTTTTATTACACGTTTAAACATTAATTTAAACTAATTTTTAACTTTACATACAGTTTTTGAGGTTAGAAACTTTAAATGTCAAACATGTTTTGACAGTTATTTTTTACTAGTGTGTAAATTTTTTTGGCAGTTATTTTTTATTTAGTACACTGTACTGAATAAGTTTGTTTTCAAATGTGTTTAAATTTAATAATTGATTAAAGAAATACCACATACAAAATAATATTTAATACTGTTTTTCATAGTTTAATCAAAATGTGTATTATTTATAGAAGGAAATGAGTTTATGTTTGATTTTGATTGAAAAAAATGATTTGTGTATTAATTTTTGTGTTAAGAAGTGTTATCATGAGAGCAGTTGTTATTAATACTTCAATATTTACATCATAAATGGATCAAAAAATTTATATTTATGCAATGCTCTTTGTAAGTGATATTTTTCCTTTTAAATCATAAGTGCCTAACTGATAAAATCAAAATTAATCGTTTAATTTCATCTATAATTAACATCTAAAATTATAATTATTTGGAAATATTAGTTAATATTTTTCATTTTACTCAATTTGAAAATATCTTAGTTAAAACCATGACGGTTTCTTTAAATAAATTTATATGATTTATTTGAAGTTGAATCCATGGATACTATCCATGGATTGTTTAAAGAGCTTTTTTTTAAACTTTGGAAATGATATCAAGTTATTCGATTAACATAAATGATGTGCCTACAAATTATTCGAATGTTTTTATTTTTTCACTAAGTTTTTGTGGTTTTATTTTCAAATAAAATATTCAAAGCTTACTTATTGTTACTAGTCTGGTATTAAGTAACAAATAATTTTATTTTAAATGTACCTATATCCTTAGAATGAATATTTATTCTTATTACAGGTACTTATGCACTTATAGGAACAGGAACCATAAAATCTGGGTCTCCGCTATACTAAAAGAAATTTATCATCAAGAACTTATTGGACAAAATTTTTTGATGATTTTTTATTACACCAAGGACGAAATTATCCTATTTGATGAGCTTTCAGGGCGTGTACCACTGGAAAACAACAAAAACTTTGGTTGCAACATCGGAATTTTAGCAAAAAAATAAATTTGTTTTGACTGATTCCAAAAGATTTTCGGACGCTGATTTCAAAAATGCTATCTATTTTTGGATAAACCCACATACAGCCCGCGAAAAATCGAAATCTTTGGTTGCAAATCTTTGGTTTTTTTTTTAAAAAAAAACGGCCCTTTCTCGCGATTTTCAAAATGTTTTGATTGGAAAATGATTGGTTTTGATTGATTTTGGGATGCTGATTTCGAAAATATTATCCGTTTTTGGATAAATCCACATACATCCCTCAATAAATCGAAATCTTTGGTTGCAAAATCAAAATTTTACTAATGAAATGAACATTTTTTTTCGCGATTTTTAAAATGTTTTGACCGATTCTGATAGTTTTCGAGGCGCTGATTCCGAATATGAAATCAGTTTTTGGAAAAAAAAGTTTTTCTGCCCTTGGTACCAATTTGAAGTTTGAAAAATCGCCAACTTTGAAGCTGATTTTAACTATGAAGACGATGATAAATTTGTAATTTTTTTGGTTTGGTATAAAGATTGTACTTTAGTCTACACAAAGCATTAATTAAAATTATTACTTTCATTCATTAAGGGCCTCAAAATTGCATTTGAAAGTCACGATTTTGGCCAATTTTGGCTGCCCCTGATAGACTGTCTTTTTAACGAAAAAAAAATAAGATTTTTAAATTACACCAAAGTAGGTTTGGTTTACTGCTAACCAGGCGTGAATATGAGTTTATTCAAAATTATCCTCCTCCTACTATTTCTTATTTTTTATATATTTATATATATATGTATATATATATATACATATACATATACATATACATATACATGCGTATATATATATATATATATATATATATTATATATATGCACATATATATTATGTCGATTTTTGTAATGCTGACACTCAATAAATTTAATTATTTATCTATATGTCTTATTTATTTACAGAGCTAGAAAAATTATTGAATATAAATTTTTTTCAGATAAATGGGGTTCGATCTGTCGATCCTCGAATTGCTATTCTGGCCTAAACCGTATCTTTACGACCTCGGCCATTTGCACATTTGACACAGAACATTTTTAGGAAACTTATATCTGTCAGTTTAGAAATAACACTTTATATTTTTACAAAAGACTACGATTTTTTAAAACCAATTGGCCGAGATCGTTAAGTGACCACTGCTCAGCGTGTCTCGGTTCGATTCCAGAAGAGGCACAAAAAATCGAACGTCTAGTTTTTCATAATAATCAAATATTAGTTCAAAATATTAAATTCAGGTGTCGCATTTCGACCTTGACACTTAGAATATTTCTGAAAAACAAAAAACTCAAGTTTCGCACTTGACATGTAAGAGAGATACATAAAGAGAAAAAAAAAAGAAAAAAAAAAGAGGAAGCACTGGGAAAAGAGAGGGGTAGAGGCAGATGATGAATAAGAGAGATGTGTATGATACATATTCTTTATTAAAATTCAATATTAATACAATATGAGAATGAAAATAACTTTTATGATCAATAACACAAATAGCCGAGTGGTTTAAGGGACCGCATACTCGGTGAAATAACTCTGGAGGCACAAGCTGAGCAGGATCGAATCCGGCCTAAGGCGTCGATAAGGAACTCTGAAGCAGAAAAAATGGAGCAGTGCTGGTGGCTGGCTGTTGGCGAGCGCAAAGGGTCCTGAAACGAACACACCAAGTGATGGTCAACCTGAGGTCCATGATGCGAGAGGTTACACGCAGAGAGACACATTGCGGAAGATGCATGCCGAACCCAGAAATCTACCCAAAAACCACAACATGCGAAAAAAACACCAAAAAAGGAAAAAAATGTGAAAAAAAAGCGGAAAAAAGGGAAAAAAAAGGGGAAGGAGGAGGAGGAGGAGGGAGAAGGGGGAGGTGGGAGCCTAAAAAAAACCCCCCTAAGTCCCAGATCAATTTTTCTCTTTTCTGTTCAGCGTTGAAACTTTTTTATGTTTTTTAGTGTTCCCTCACACCAATTCCCAAAGCCAACACTCGAATGAAATCAAGTCCACGTTGAAATTTTCACAACGAGAAAAAATTACTGGGACTTAGTTAAAATATTTAACTTTGCCCCAATAAAATTTTCTCGTTGTGAAATATTCAATGTGAGCCTCATTCATTCGAATGTTGGCTTTGGGATAATACAGCATGCATAAATAACTCGTCTGTCTTAATTGAAAAGGTTTCAGAAAATTTGGACTTAGAAAAAAAAATTATCTGAAAGAACTTGGACTTATAAAAAAAAAATTATTCGAAATAATTATAATCAGAAAATTTAGACTTAGAAAAAAAAAAATGATTCGAGAGAATTATTTAATTAATCGATGAAATGAAATGATATTAATCGAATCAAAATTGTTTATACGACTTGATAAAACATTTGAAACCTTTACAATTAATCG